GTGGTATGATTTTAGCCACATCCCTGGCCTCTGCCCACTTGGTGCCGGGAGCCTCCCTCCAGCCATTGCCACATGTCCCCTGGGGATAAGATAGTCGCTGTTTGAGAACCACTGCGCTAGAGACTGTAAGCCAAGGAAAAGTGGATTGGTTCCCCTTCTGGACCCAGACTGTGGCTGGTAGACCTAAACATCAGGGCCGTTCTCTGTGCTTAATCTTTTTTCTATTAAAACGTTGAGACTCCTTACCCCTAGGGCCCTGTTGCAGGTGTTAGTAGGGGCGGCTTGTGCATTTCTGGGGAGGCTCTTTTATAGAACAAGAAAGTACAGACGCTGAGTTTTTCACTTGACAGTGACTTGCCATGGTCCCTTTTCTTAAATCTCTCTGCTCTTTGGTTTTCTTTTTCTTTCATTGTTTAACACGCGGCCTCGTCTTTCTTCAGTGGGTAGAGCACTGTTTCTTCCGACACATGCATTTTCCAGCTGGATAAACGTGAGAAGTCTGACTGGGAAAGCCCTAGCTTCATAGCTCTGCCTTGAGAGAGTTCCAGCTTGGTGCTTCACTGTTGCTGTTTTGAAAAACAGGTGCCAGAGTGGGTCATCGCTCCCTGATGAGATACTACAAACAGCGGTTTGGCTTGTCCAGAGCCGTGGCCGTTGCTAAGAACCAGAAGGCGGTGGGCCGGGTCCTGCAGCAGTACAGAGCCCTGGGCTGGACCGGGAGCACAGGTGCGGCGACGCGGGGACAGCCACGGAGCAGCCCCGGGACTTGCAGTTCCTCAGGGGCCCTGGGTGAAGGGGTGGTTACTGACCTTGTCCCTAAGGATCCTCCCCAGGGGACACTTACCTTGGCTCTGGGGGCGTCTGTGACCACTTGAGGCGTTTATGGCAATAAGTCCCCAGCTCCATGACGGAAAAACTTCTTATTCGTGGCACAGCAACTTTCTAAAACCTGCATGTATACCACTGACTTTTTCAGGAGGTAAAGGTTATGAAGTGAGTTGTTTAGTAATTATCCAAGGTTGAAATCCTCCTGGAAGTTTCCCAGAGGAATGGAATGGCATTCTCACAGCAGTAGTTTGAGCTGTGGAGTCAGCATGACTTACCTGATGTTCTTATTGGTATGAGTAATTTATCCAATCAAAGCCTCTGTTGTCTCACTTATTAAATGGAGGAGATGATAACGGGGCCTGGGCCGGTGGGATGTCATAAAGCAGGATGACACAGCACATGCATGTAATAAAAGCTACCAGTCCTTCTTTCTGTAATTTCCCCATAAAAATGATAAGAGTCAGAGGAATAGAGTAGGCTACTGACATTGTTACCTTCAAGGAGAACGTCAGTCCACTGGAGACAGTGGAGGGAGAGCGGGCAGCTGCCTGCTGA